CGGTCGCGATTTTTTACCGGTGGCCCAACCGATAATTGGCCACGGCCCTCCCGCGCGGCCCTCTCCCGTTTTACGTAGACTAAACATCATATGGGAAGGAGCTGGCGATTGGTGGCCGGGGGGGAGGGAGTACGGGGGTGGAGAGAAACGGGAGCAGCAGTAGCAACAGTAGCAGCGGTAGGAGCAGTAGCAGCAGCCGCCGCTACGTGTTTGTTTAGAGCGAGGAGGACTTCCGATGGAACGATGGGGATACGGGGAGAGCGGGAAATCGTAAGGACGAACCAGGATGGTCGATCACCGAGCCGGAAGTTAAAAAACTCCGAACGCTGCGAGACGATGGAACGAGGTAGCGTCCTTAGATGGAAGGGTCCTAAGATGTAAGGGGCGAGGGAACGGACCTTCTTCGTTCTCGTATTATTCGGCATTGGAATCGCGTACGATCATCCGTCGCCTCATTATCTGGTAACGAGCATCGACGATCCTTCCCTTGCCAATGCTCACTGTGAAAATGCCGACGGACACTCGTTAACAAAAAGGGCCAGTTCAACTCGCCGGGACGATGGGCCGGGAACGCGGAGAGTCGTCGTCTCGAGCGAGCGGACGGCAATTATTTACGACCTAAGTGGCGCTAAGTGAGCTCGTATACGGGGCCTGGAGGCGATGGCAGCCAATTCGCCTCAGCCGCGCGTAAAAGTCCTTATTGTCGAGATGGGCCGGTACCGATGCGACACAACATTGTCGTAAAACGAAAGCGCACGAATAAACGGCTTTAATCCTTTATCCTCGGGGCGGGCAGTCGTTACGACATTCAAAATGAAGATCGGTGTTTAATCGAAAAAATGATGAACGGCTCACGCGAACGCCCAAGACATTGGAGGAGAGATAGTTGGAGGAGAGGTTAGGCTTCTCCCAATGCGAAAAGTGAGCAGTCGCGAGGAGCCTAATTGCAATGGTCGCTCGAGCCTCCGGCGATTTATCGAGTCGCGGCCATCTGTCGCGGCTCCACGCGCACGCGAAATATTTTAATTAGTTTATCGAGGGATAATCGGCTCGCGGCAGCTGCGACTCGCGCGTGCACCAAATTGGCCGGCTCAGGGTCGCGGCGAGGAAAGCTCGTTGCGCGTTTTCCCGACGCGTTGCGCGTTGCTTCTCTCGCGTTCCCGGCTTCTCGCAATCAGATCATGCCTCGATGCCGGGACGAGGATACTCGGCGACTTCTTGGCGAGGCGCGGCACGTGCGCGCGGATGACGCGCCCTTTCAATAATTCACCGGCAATACGTCAGGGAAAATCAGAGCATCCAATGATCCAGGTCGTCTTAGTAGTCCCGGCCGGGTCTTGGTCGATCTAAGAACCTCGAAATTGCCTCGCGCGGATTCCAGAGGTTTCGCAGTAATACCACAAGTCCAACGTCACCTGCGACAAATCGAAAGACGAAAGATAATGAGAGTGAGAGTGAGAGTGAGAGTGAGAGTGAGAGTGAGAGAGAGTGAGAGAGAGAGAGAGAGTGAAATTGATTGATTGTAAGAGAGTAGAGGGTGAAAGAGTGGCTTGGCAGAGCGAGAGAGGGATGACGGAGAGCGGCGGAGTGGAGCGGAGTTGAGTGGAGTTGAGTGGAGTTGAGTGGAGTTGAGTGGTGTGGAGTGGCCCTCGAGGGGGCAGACCTCGGCCACGATCTCGAAATAGCCTGGCATTAACTCGGCCACGCGAAAAAGGGCTCCAGCGCCATTAATTACGCCCTCATTAGCCCGAGCTTCCCCCGATGGCATTGGCCGGCCCTCGCCCTGGGATTCGTGGCGCGTTGCGGTGGAAAAGCCAAGAAGGGCTGGTGGGGTGTGAGCGAGGGTGCTGGTGCCAGCACCACCCCTCTCTCTCGAGCGTGCGCTTATCTACTGGGCGCGCTTGGACGACGGCACAGGTACATGATGGCTGGATGGATAGGCAGGTTGGTAGGTAGGTAGGTCGCTCGCTCGGGAGGAAGATCGTGGGAGTCGATCGGGCAACGATCCTGTCGTCAATAAACCAGCCCCACCGAGGAATATTGAATGCTCGTTATTATTATCCTCGTACGCTTTATTCCTTCTCCCTGAGCTTCCTCGGCTTTCGCTCGTTTATTGCTGCACCGTGCGCGGTTGCGCCAATACCTCTCCTCCCGCGGGGAAAACAAAGCGGGCGCTCCTGGCCCCGCGACAGATGCGGATTAAGAATAGCCGTTCGGGTCGCGGGCCTTTAAAGTCAGTGCCCCGTGCATATGCGGCTTGTGACGATGAGGACGAAGAGTGAATGTCGCCAGGACGCGTTAACCGGCCTCTATTAATTATGTATTGAGCGCGTGGATGAGGCGCACATTAAAAATTTCGATGCCAGTTAATTGTAAATAAATAATAATGGAATTGATGGTCAGTGGTGATATTCATAGGCTGGTTCATGGTTGGAGATGGTGGCGAGCTCGGTTTATCTATGCGCTATCGCGGCCAAAATCTTTTATCAACCGGAAGTGCACGTTCGTTGGAATTAGATTGAAACGTATTACCAAATTACGCATTACGATCGTCAAGACTAACGCGTAGTGTTTTGCCAGGCGGCGGCGGCGGCGGCACGCCTTCCGGACTCCAGTAACTGGCGATACCGCTACTGTGGCCGGTAATAAAGTTCCCTAGACTGCCTACCGTAGGCCGTCCCTGATATTTTACCGACATACACTTGCGATGCCCACGTGAAGGTGAGGGTGGAGGGGCAGATTCCTGTAGCGGTTGAGCATCTGTTTCATATGTCGGTAGACTCGCGTCGCTACGACGCAGCGACTCTTGCTTGCGTCGATACATCTTCGTTGGATATTACTTCGGTTATTACGCGTATGATAATACACGAAGAGTTTGGAGTGCACTTTATGGTCCAGTGTCGGACACTCCCAATTTATTAAGCTTTGGGTGATCAGTAATGGGCACTTTGTCAGTCGTTCGACAATGCTTCTACCATACCATAACATACGTCCTTGCGAATCATTTTCAAAACAATTGCTTAAAACACTCTCATCGAATAGTTTCGCGAGTTGTTGAATATTATTACTACTACTACTACTATTAATACTATAGTTACTACTATCATTACTATTCCTATCATCGTCATCATCATCTTCCTTATTATTATTATTATTATTATTATTATTATTATTATTATTATTATTATTATTATTATTATTATTATTATTATTATTATTATTAATGCTATTTCCGTTGTTGTTATTGATGTTGTGATTGTCGTTGTCATCATCGACATCATCATCATCATCATCATCATCATCATCATCATCATCATCATCGTCGTTACTATTATTATTGTTATCATTATAATTATAATAAAGTCAGAGAGGCCGTAACTCAAACTATAATAATACTTTGCGAAAGTCGTGGAAGGTTATACTTTGATTATTGGTTCTATTACACTTAACAAGGGCAATTGGTATTATACAAGAGCCTTGATTTTACTACAGATTGTAATGGTGCTGATAATGACAGCTGAATCTCCAATCTTGTTTTCCTATTATCACAAGATAACGAGGATAACTAACTATCCGATAATAAAAAATAATTAAATGTAAAAAAAATGGCCCAACTGCCACATCTTATTGTTAACTAACTTGCCTTTTCCGTTGCAGCATTTGTATCATCTGCAAACGGGCGAAGGAGCGTTTCGAGAGCGAGGAAGAGGTCGAGGCAAGGGTGCAACGAGGGTAAGTTTTCGTTTATTTCATTCTTTCATTTTCATTTTCCGCATCTCGTTATATAGTCGCCGAGTGTTAACTGCTACAAGATTTAACCGCTGCGAGGCAAGTAACGTCAAGGCGCAATTAATTAAGCGAAATTCTAATTATTTCCTAGATGTAAGTGCCTTAACTCTTGATCGCCCAGAGGTGTTTAATGCTCTTTGATGGAAAAGTCTTTGGCTCTCCAGTACTAAAGTACTTAACTTTACTTTTATGCAACTTCCAGATCTATTAAAGCTTCTCTTCTCTCCCTCCAATCCACGTACACCATCCCACCTCACGCACAATGCCCTTCCAGCACTCACGATGGAGAGTGAAGTAGTAGATGAAGTGACGACAAAATTTATATAACTTTGCTAAAAAGATTTTGCCGAAGGATTTGCAGAGATTCGTGAATTATAAGCCAGCAAAGACGTTTCGGTTATTCAATTTAGTACGTCGATGACTGCTCGTCCCATTGAATTTCATTGAAAAAAAAGAAAAAGAAAAAAAAAGAAAAATGATAAAGAAGAATAAAGGCGGAAACCAACAAACAAAGCGAGAAAAAGAGTAAAAAAGAAAAGAAAGATGAGATGGTAAGGGTGAAGAGAGAGGAAAAAAAACATTGCGAGGAGGTGTGGAGTTTCGCGGGGGGGGGGGGGACAAA